TCTGTCTTATCAGTGAGTTTTACTTGCATTGTAGACATCTTTCATTTTCTAAATGGAGTTTATCACTAAGTACTTTTTGTGTGACTGTTGGGAATAGGGTTAATTTTATAATTTCTTTCTCAGAAAATTTTATCAGAAAAGCTGCTAATTTTGTGTGTTTATTTCTATATGTGCTACTTAACTGAATTCATTTGTCAGTTCTAAAACCTTTTGGTGGAGTTCTTGGGTTCATCTATGCATTGAATCATCTTGCCTACAAATAGGAATAACTGAGTCCTATTGGTGCGTCTTCTATTTCACTGTAGCCTACCTACTCTGGTTAGTCTCTAGTACTCTATTGTAGGAGGGCAGTGAGGTTCTGTCATTCCAGGTTTAATAGGAAGTGTTCTTTCCCGGCCAATATTTTATTGCCTGTGAATTGACATTCAGATGTCTTTATGTGTTATAGTTTTTCTGTTTCTAACTTCTTGAGGGCTTTCATCCTAAAGGAATGTTGAAATTATCAAATGTTGTTTGTTCATGTATTAAAATAATCTTATGATTTTAATCCTTTATTGTGTTTGTATAATTATGTTATATTTATCTAATTTTTGTATGCCATACAATTCTTAAGTGCCTATAATGAAACTGTTTAACTTGACCATGTTACATGAGGTCTTGATAATACTGTTACCTTCAGTTAAAATTATCTTGAGTATTTTTCAGTTTATGTTCACCAGAAAGATGAATTACTAGATTTTGTTTTGTATTGTTTTCAAGGTTTGGTAATAAGGTCATATGCACAGAATGAGTACCCTCCTTTTAAGTTTTATAGCATAGCTTGAGAATCATTGGTAGTTCTTATTCAAAAGTTTGATGAGAGTAAGTGATGAAGCATCTAATCAAAGTCTTTTTTATATGTCCAGGCATTTGTTCATTTCTTTTAGATTTCCCAATATGTTAACATATACTATTTCAAAAGAAATACTCTCTAACAGTCTTTTAATTTCTGTAATATCATTTGGAATGTAATTTTGTTTTGTAATTTAGTCTGCCTCTGCGCCCTTTTACAGTTACAGTTTTATCAATCTTGTTTACTTTTTCTAAGAACCAATTCTATTCTATTATCATTTTCCTCTTAATTTTGGAATTGATTTGTTCTATTTTCTAAGACTCTGAGATGTATCATTAGCATGTCAGTTTCTTTTTAGGGCCTGTGACCTCCTAAGGCATGGGTTTTTGACCAGGTTTCTATACAGACATTAATTCTCTCCTGTGGGGCAGGCCTTAAATACTCCCACAGCACTCACGCCGCTCTTGTATCGTAGGTGCATCTTGGTTGGCAGGTTAGTATTGTGGCGTGCAGAGTCCACTAACTGGGTAAACCACATAATGCTGGCACAATGAAATCTAGCAAGCAAGGAAGAAGTTTTCACTCAGTTACAGTTTAATTTCCCTGGGTCCTGTAACTGGAGTCTCTTGTGTCTTAAGCAGTAGGGTCTTACCACCTAGCTTTGGTGGGCAGCCAAAAGTAGTGGCAGTGTTCTGCATTGCTTTGGGTATCACTGGGTCCTCCCTGGCCAGTAACATAGGGAAACATCGCATACCTGGCATTGAGATGTTATTTAATAACCCTTGCCTTCTGGAGGAAGTACCCCCCCCCCCCCACTGCAGTACTTCCATTCAGATTCCTCAAAGACAAAGAATACACACACAGTTGGCTTACAAAGCAGTATGTTTTCATATGGTCCTTTTAAATTGCCCTTTATATTCAGTTTAAATATTCTTAGTTTATTCCTTCTTTTATTCAACTCTATAGAGTGATGGCCTACTATGTTGTTTTTTTTTTTTTTTTAAGATTTATTTATTTGTTATTTATACCGTGTTCTGTCTACATATGCACCTCCAGGCCAGAAGAGGGCACCAGATCTCATTATAGATAGTTAGGAGCCACCACGTGGTTGCTGGGAATTGAACTCAGGAGCTCTGGAAGAGCAGCCAGTGCTCTTAACCTCTGAGCCATCTCCCAGCCCCCGGCCTACTATGTTGATCTCATTTGATTGTTATTTCTCTTGTGTTTATTTTAGACAATATAATGGCAGGTACTATGACATGCTATCTCTTATGTATCTGAATGTTTTGTCTCCATGTATGTCTGGGCATGTGGTGCCTACATAGTCCAGAAGAGGGCCTCCTGCCCTGAAACAGGAGCTATAGATGGTTGTGAACTGCCATGTGAGTGCTGGGAATGAAACTCAGGTGCCTGGAAAGAACAGCCAGTGTTCTTACCCGCTGAAGGAGACCTCTTAGCTCCTATGTACTGTTTCGATGGTGGTGCTCTTTCTTCCACTTTGGGTTGTAGGGCTCACATAAGCATCTTTGATAAGGCTGGTCAGATAATCACAAATTCCCTTAGGTTTTGCTTATTGCAGAGAGTTGTTTCTTATTTCTGTAGAATAGTATTACTATTAGTATATTGGACATAGTAGACTTGATTGACAGTTACTTTATTTTAGGCGTTGAAGCATGTTGTCCTGTACTCACTTGGCTTACTGGATTTGTTTTCTTGGTTTTCTGTTCTGTTGAGAAATCTGCTATTAATCTAACCAGATTATTTTTAAATGTAGCTTGGAGATTTTCTTCTGAAAATTTAGAAATTCTTTGTCCTATGCCTTTAAAAGCTTAGATGTAAATAGTGAAGTGGCTTCTGTAAGTGTCCTGGACATGCTTCTGTATGTCTTTCTTTGCTGTTATTTTACTGAATAGTTTTGTCTCTGCCCTTAACGTCCCTGCCCTTTGAGAACATCAGTTATTTAGTTATTATTTTATTTCACAGTGTTTCGAAGACCTTACTGTCTTCATCTTCCCTTTGTCCCTTTTTCTGAATATGATCATTCAAAAGAATTCTCTTCAAACTTTGTAGTTATTTCTTCCATTTGATCTAGTCTGATAAGATTTTTAACTGAAGTTTTAAAAATAATTACTGTATTTGAAAGTTTTTTGTATTTTATTTTGATTATTTGCATGCCACTCCCCTAATTCCTCTCAGCCAACTTCATGTTACCTCATGTGTTGGCTGACTACCCCTGGACATGGGTCCTGCCTGTGTGACTGCTTTACCACGTATCACACCAGCAAACAGAACTGACTTTCTCCTTCCAGTAGCAATCAAATGCCGATAGCTCCTTAGCTGCAGTGGGGACTTTGTGCCCATCGTGCCTTCTCCATGCTGTGATTTGTCTGGGTGACATTTGTGTAGGACTTGTTCATGCCGTCGTAGAGTAAGACTTTTCTTGGGGAGATGCAGCATCCATATCACTCCAGATACGAACCCTGGGACAGAGAAAGCTCTGGACATCACTAAAGTCCAACTTGGTGAACCAGTAGCAATAAGCTTCTCTGATGAAAATGTAGTGATATATTGATCTGTGCTTGTAACATTAAATCACTGGGGCTTGTTTTATTGCTCTGTCCATTTAGCGTAAAAATAGTATTAGATTTTCCTCTACAGTCCATGTCTCATCTTGCCACAGGTTTGGGGCTCCATGACCGTGTCTGGTATGGATTCCATCTTTTGGGGTGGGCCTTGAATCCAATAAAAATGTGGTTTGTAACTTCATGGCATTCATTAGACTATTGCTAGGCAAGTCATTAATATAACTTACAGAGCCCACTGGGTATGCTTCTTGAGTCCTTCACAGCAGGAGTCTGAATATTTGCTTTTTCAGTACCTGGAGTTCCTTTATGCTTTCTGTATTCCTCTGCATTCCTTTTCCTCCTTTGTATGCTTTAAATAAGCTCACTTTGCCCTAGTGAGCCTCTGAGCTCACCAATTCTTTGTCCCACTTGATCTTTCCTTCTACTGATGTCTCTGACACATTTTTAGTTTTCACTGTGTGCAGTTTTACAACTCAAAATGGCTTTCATTTCTGACTTTCTCAGTGTTTTCTTGAAGCATAGTAGTTCCCTGGCAGTTCCCATACACACAGTGCTGAGTACCTGGTCAGATTCTTGACATCATAGCTTGAGCACTCAGTAAAGTCATGGCTTCTGGATATGCTTGATGTTTGTTGACATGTGATGCATCTAATCCAGCTTTCTACCCTGGCTTTGTTTGTAATTATCTCTGCACGGATTCTTAACAGTGTACTTCATCTAAGCCTCTGTACTATTTCGGAACTAGATAGCACCCAAATCCAGAGTATCCCAAAATCTGATATTACTGTGTTGTCACTATTTCTGCATTTGAGGGCCATTCAAGCCAGGTTTTGTTCCAGATATTCTATTGGTATATTATTCAGAAAGAAACAGAAGAATATCTAAAGCACAATCTGTCTCTGGAAGCATGTGCTGGTACTAGAATAAGACTCTTGTGTCTCCTTTACAGTAGCAGGCCTGTGATCACACACTGTGAGTTTTTGCCTGGCTCTAGGCATATTCACTGTGGATGGAACAGCCTCAGGCTGCCATTAGAGTCAACAAGCTACATTGCACCATGAGCCCTGGACCAACATTTCTGTGGGCAGCCTATTGCTATGGTGGACTCATGGCCCAGCTTTAGTGGGACTTTCAGGACCCACCAGCAGTTAAATAATTGCTTACGCCTTTAGTTTAGGCTCCCTCCCAGTTGGCTGATTCTGGCACTATGTCCTGCCACATGGCCAGCTCTGCCTCTTTGCTGATGTTCATGCTTGTCCACCTCCATGTCCCACTGGCAGAATCCACCGCTTCTAATTTTTTCTGCCAGAGACCCTTTCTCTGCCTGGAACTTCTGCCATCTGCTTCCTGTGAAGCTGTTGGCTATCAGATCTTTATTAAGCCAATAACGAGGGAGGAAGGTGATGAGCCATAATACTAACAGTACCAAAATCCAGCCAGTACTCACTCTCTGTTGGTACAGCAATCAACAGTTGAATATACAGAGACAATCTTCACAAAGTGCACCCCAATACAGCATTGCCAAAAACAGCCACCAGTGTTGCTATCTCTCTTTTGTACAAGCCCAATCGACTGGCCTCATGTATGTTCCTGTCGCTAGAGCTGATTGATGTGGTCTCTGCACAGGCTAGCCCTTGGGCTGTTGTGCTATGGACAGCATTAACTTTCTGCAGTTCAATGTTTACTGCCTTTGCCTTTTCCCAGCAAGTAGGGTTTTTTGTTTTTGTTTTTGGTTTTTTTTTTCATTCTGTGCAACTCAAAGTTAGAATGTTAGTGAAGGCAGATTCTTTGCCAGCTGTACGAATACCAAGATGGGTCATTCCTGAACCTCAGAACCACAAGGGCATGCATGATTTTAGTGGTACACTGAAATGCAAATTGTGGCCAGAGGCAGTGCAGATCAACAAGACACAAGTCTCACAAGTGGGTACAATTTTCTGCCTGGTGTCTAAATATGTTGTAAAGGTTCATCTGTAAGCCCTGTAATGGCAGTGGCTGTGCCGCCTTACCTTAAGAGGCAAGTGGTAGAGACAGCCCACTGGATATCATAACTGCTGCTAAGCTGGACCTTGCACCTAACTCTTGACAGCTGCAGGACCTTCACAGTTACAGGATGAGAACAGGAGTTCCCCAAGCCAGTACCAAGGGAAGTAGCTGAAACTCAGGTCTGTGAACCAGGTGTGTAGGTCTCTCTTGCAGGTTGGTGTCTGTTAGCTTGCTCTGTGCTATGTTCCGAAACACTAGGCATTTGTCTTATTGCAGCAGGCCTGTCAGTGGGTTCCGACACAGCTGTGTGCTATCTTGCATGTCTTGCTTCTCCTTTTGCTGAAGTTGGAAGAATAGTTAGTAGTGAAGCTTTCTCCTTTGCTGCCTGTCTGGCACAACTTCAGCAACTCAGTTCTGGGGGTACTAGCCTGAAAGTAGGGGTCATGGGACTTTGCCTAGTGTTGAGTGTTCACTATGACAGACTTAGTACAAGGTTTAAAGTAAACACATGTAATGTAGGTGACTTCTCTATTCTCCTTCTGGTTAGTCTGCTTTATGAATAGCTGTATGTAAGGAGAGATTGCCAGAGGATCTTACGCAGTTGCCATCCACTCTGCTCTGAGTAAAGTTCAAAGGTTAGGTTAGAGTTCAGTCCTCATGTTCTTCACTCCTTAGGGTTTTACAGATATACTGTGCTGTCTCTTCAGCAGTGCATTGAATACTCCGTAGTGTCCCTGAGCACTCCCTCCTAATCCTCACTGTTCATTGATCTTCTGTTGTCCTATAGTTTTGTCTTTTCTAAGATGTTAGACACTTATTTTTAATCTACCTCCTTGGGTGTGCTTGCACATACCGCAGTGTGAGTACCACAGCATGCACAGGGAAGTCAGAATACAGCTAGCAGACAGCCATGTATCTTCTTCTACCACATGGGTACTGCAGATCACTGTTCAGGTCATTGGGCTCTGGAGCAAGTACCTCTGTTGACTAAGTTATCTCACCAGCCCATGCTAGATGTTTACATCATGAAGCAAGTGTTCTTTTCAGGTTGGCTTTCTTATTCAGCAGTATGCATTTAACATTATTTTCTTTGTTTCTCAAACTTGATGGCTAGTGTTTGTTTTTTTTATTTTTTAATTTATTACAATTTATTCAATTTATATCCCAGCTATATCCCCCTCCCTGATCCACTCCCAATCCTGTCCTCCCTCCCTCTTCTCCCCCTATACCCCTAGTCCACTGATAGGGGAGGTCCTCCCCCCACTTCCATCTGACCCTAGCCTATCAGGTCTCATCAGGACTGGCTGCATTGTCATCTTTTGTGGCCGGTAAGGCTGCTCACCTTTCAGGGGGAGGTGATCAAAGTGCGAGCCACTGAACTGAGTTCATGTTTTTTGTTGGTTTTAATGCTTAAGAGTAAGCATATCATTCTGTGGCTGTACCATGGTTTGTTTTGTTTAGAGACCATCAGAAGTTAAGGAACTTTAATGGTCATGACAGATGGTCAGAAATTGGACTCCTGGTCATGACAGATAAGGAAGCTTTGTATTTTGTCACATTCTATAACAGTTTGTATTATATGCATGTCTACATTATTTTACAGTTCTGTGTTTTAGAAAATGCATCTTTAAAAATATTTTAGGGTGTTCATTCATATACTTCATGCATTTTGATTCCTGAAGGAGATTAAAAACTAAATTCAATGGAAAGCTTAAAAGCTTTAAGCATAAAACTCACATAATACTTTTAAGTTTTTCTGACTTAGCCAAGAATCCATGTTCCAGATTGGTAAAGAATAGTCTCCTAATAGAACTATTTATATCATGATAGTTTGAATTAGTAAAGAATGTGCTTGTGAACTTTGAAACTCAGTCTGTTTATAGACATATCAGTGTGAACACAGTTGCACGTGCTTCTTCGTGCTTTTTTTACATAGTACATATACATGTTACAGTGCACACTCTACTTGATTCCAGTGCGGCTGTAGAGTCATCTACCCTGGGGAATCCTGCGGTGGAGTGGAGCCAAGGCTTTTTTGTTGCCCCCTCCACCATGTCTTTGTTTATGGCAGAACTGGCTCAGTTGTTGCCCACTTACAGTAGACATGGAATTATTTAATAAAACTTAAAGTTTCTAAGTTTCCTAAAATTATGCTTGGGTATGACATGATAAGTTGTTGTTTTTTTTTTCAAATGTTTTGATATTAAAACATACCATCAAATCTGATATTTTCTTTTTTGAAGATGAGTTTCATGCTTATAAAGCTTGACTTACTTTTAACTGTTTGGCTCTCTTCTTGATCTTGCGTCTTTTTCTCTTTTCTTCTTTACAGGGTACAGTTAATAAGGTATCCTCCAGCCACATTGGCTGTTTAGTACATGGGTGTTTCAATGCCTCTATCCCTAAACCCGAGCAAATGTCATATGAGGAGTGGCAAACATTGGAGATAAATGTAGGCGATGAGCTGGAATTTGATGTATTCCGCTTAGATTCAGATTCTGCTGGAGTATTCTGCATTCGAGGAAAGCTAAATACCACAAGGTTAGTGTACCATGATTGAGACAGCAGGAGGGAGATCCTGTTGCTTGGATATATACCAAAGGTAATTATGTTTTCTTTATCACATGTCCCTGGTTTATCTGAATAGCCTGGGTTTAATGCTTAGTAGCTACAATTTTCTTAACCAAGTCCTAATTTTGAAACTCTGCTTGAGCTTCTGTACAGTAAAAGCAAAAAAATAAAACAAAAAACCATTTTCTTGTTAATTTGGGCCAGGTGTAGTAGCCTGTGCCAGTAATTGCAGTATTCTGAAGGTTTGGACAGGAGGGTCATGGAAAAACTAAAAACAAAACAAAACAAAAAGATCAAAAAGTAGCTAGATAAATATAACATTGAGTTTGATATCTGACAATCGTAGATATTTCAGTGGTCTGAGGAATAACAACATAGAACATTTGGAATTAGAGCCACACTAAACTGCCTTGTGCAAAAATCGTAGTCTATTGAAATAGTCTTGGCCTCATTTTTCTTTTCTGTTTGCTTATTGCTGATAATATTTTAAAAATCTGTTCATTCACAGTTTGCAGCGTAAGAGCTCTGTATTGTCTAAAGATGTAGCAGAAACTGGCAGTGAAGAGGTTGTTGAAAAAATTTCAAAGAAAAAAAAGAAGAAGAAAGACACAGTCGATAGTGCCACAGAACTAGCAGAGGTTACAGATGTTACTCCAGTGGAAGAAACAGACCTACCGTGTAGTGACAATGTGAATGACTTCTTTGAGGAAGAGCCAAAGAAGAAGAAAAAGAAGAAGAAAAGACACCAGGAAGATCAGGACCCCATTTTCCAAGCCAGTGATTCCAGTGGCTACCAAAGTGACCATAAAAAGAAAAAAAAGAAAAGGAAACACAGTGAAGAGGCTAGCCTTGAGTCACCTAAGAAGATGCAGTGATTGTCTTTTTGTTGTTAATGTGTTTAGATACCCTAGATGAACAGAGATTTTGAATGGTAGGAAATGTTTAGATATTTGTTCACAAGCAAATACTTGATTAGTAATTGAAGGGTTTTATACTAAAATCATACAACTGACTTAATTTTGGATAGTACTATTATTACTGAAGTGTGATTTTATTACAATTCAGTATAAAATGTTAACAAATGCTTTAACTCCTGACTCATGTTCATGCTCTACATAAAATTTAAATTATCAGCATTTGCCAAAGAACTTTATAGTACTTATAATTATTTTTTCTGATAATAATAACTTTTGCCCTTAGGATGGATGGATGGATATATATATATATATATATATATATATCTCAATAAGTTTACCCATTTTAAGTTTCCTTTAAATAGTATTTCTATTTTCTTTAAGATGTATAGCTAAAGACTATCTGGACCTCTCATACCGTGTGGCTATCAGTGTGAATGTATGGTGGGTGGGGTAGAAACTCACTGTTTCCTACCAGAAGATGTGTGTGCTCTATTTCTGAGACTGTAACGGAAAGGGCTGTTAATTTTTACTTTGTGTTTCAGCAGTCTATTTTTATTATGAATGGATCATGAGCAAGATGAAGACAGGATGAATATGGTTCTTGCTAGTTGAAAATTTTCAGTAAAGTTTTAATGATGAGGGCTAGACTACTATACTTGCTTTGAGGAGACAGCCATTATTGCTTTTATTGATTAAAAATGTGGAACATGTTGTGCCTAACCAGAAAATGGTGATGAGAATAAATTGGTTGAGGCTCAAAATCAATCTGTAGCAATGCATTTATAGACAGTTACTATCTGTGATGTATTTTATTGAGGCAAAAGGATATAAATCAAGCAAGATAGTGTAGTTCCTTCTTCCATGCCACAATATGGGAGGAACAATTATGTGCACACAGCATAAGTGAGGAAATAAAACGGTAATTGCAGTAAATACCACAAAGGAAACATTGACCACTCTTGAACTAGTATCTGGAAAGGTTCAGGGTTAGGGTTGACCTCTCCATGTCAGTCATTGCTGTTGTCGCTGATTGACTGGCAGACATAGTGTGAGCATCAGTTTAATGTTTGATAAGGAGTAAATCTTGCCAACCATTTTTTTTTTTTTTTTTACTTCATCTATGGTATACAGAGTACAAGGGATGGCAGCAATTTAGTATGTGCATGTAGATATAATTACTGTAAGTTATATCTACATAAGGTACACACCATTATCTTTCACAACACTGAAAATTCAGTGGGTTTTAGGTCTCTCTCTCTGAACTATGACTATTCCAAATTGATGTGTTGTCAGTCAGTATAAAATATGAGATTTTAAATTAAAGATGTAAAAAAAAAACAGAATGTAAAAATATCTGAGTATTTATGTTGGTGAATTTTGAAACTTTTTAAAAATTAAGGAATTTACATCCCGGTTGCAACTTCTCCCTCCTCTCTTTCCAGTCCCTCCCTCTCACCCCACCCCTACTTTCTCTCCAACCAACCCTTCGCCCCTTCTCAGAAAAGGGGAGGCCTCCTGTGTATGCTTTGGCATATCAAGTTGCAGTAAGAGTAGGTGCATCTTCTGTTGAGGCTGGACAAGGCAGCCCAGTTAGGGGAAAGGGATCCAAGGGCAGGCAGCAGTCAGACAGCCCCCATCCTGCTTTAGGAGTTCCGTACAAAGACCCAGCTGCACAATGCACAACTGTTACATATGTGCAGAGGGCCTAGGTCAGTCCTATGCATTCTCCCTGGTTGGAAGTTTAGTCTCTGTGAGCCCCTGTGGGCCCAGGTTAGTTGATTCTATAAGTTTTCTTGTGTTTTTGACCCCCTCTGGATTCTTTAATTTTTTTTTCTCCTCCTTTCCAAGGATTTCCCAAGGTCCACTTTGGGCTGTGGGTCTCCATCAGTTTCCATAAGTTGTGTGAAGCCTCTCTGATGACAGTTATGCTAGGCTCCTGTTGACAATTAAAGCAGAATATCATTAATAGTGTCAGGGGTGGGCTCAGTCTCTTGGCCTGGGTCACAAGCTGGACCAGTCATTGCTTGGCTGTTCCCTCAAATTCTGCTCTATCTTTTTACCAGTGTACATCCTGCAGTTAGGGCAAATGTGGGTCTAAGGTTTTGTGGCCGGAGTGGTGTCCTAATCCCTCTTTTGGAAGTCTTGTCTGGTCACAAGAGTTGGCTGGTTCAGGCTCCGTATCCTTCACTGCTAGGAATCTTAGCTAGGGTCAGTCTTACAGATTTCTGGGAGTTTCCATTGTCTTAGGTTTCTAGCTCTTCCCAGAGAAGTCCTGTCTCAATCCAGTTGTTTCCCAGTTCTCTCTCCCTCCTTCCTCACTTCCATCCTTCTTGTTCCTATCCCCACGAAGTCCTCTCCTTCCATCTACTCTCTATGTCTAATCTACTAAAAAATGAGGTACTGCTCTCAACAGAATTCTCAACAGAGGAATCTTGAGTGGCTGAGAAACACTTGAAATGCTCAACATCCTTCATTGTCAGGGAAATGCAAATCAAAATTACTCAGATTCCATTTTATACCAAGTAGAGAGATTAACAGCAAAAACTCAAGCAACAGCTCATGCTGGTGAGGATTCAGTAGAAGTGCAAACTTGTACAACTACTTTGGAAATCAATTTGGTGGTTTCTCAAAATTGGGAATAGTTCAAGACCCAACTATACTTCTCCTGGGCATATAACCGATGCGTCACCATACAACAAGGACACTTGCTCAACTATGTTCATAGCTGCTTTATTCTTAATAGCCAGAAACTGGATATAACTTAGATATCCCTTAAATGAATAAAGAAAATGTGGTACATTTACACAGTGAAATACTACTCAGCTATTAGAAAAAGGAAATTGTGAAATTTGCAGGGAAATGGATGGAACTAGAAAAGATCATCCTGAGTGAGGTAACCCAGACCCAGAAACACATGCATGATATGTACTCACAAGTGGATATTAGCCACGAAGTACAGGGTAACTGTGATGCAATCCACAGACCCAAAGTAGCGAAGTAACAGGGAGGGCCTGGGGCAGGGGGACTTGAATCTCACTGAGAAGAAGAAATAGAAATTTTAACTTTTTGCTGAATTTTTTTGCTATGAAGATTTAAGTAAACTTAATTTTCATCTGTTTCCAATTTATTTATATTTCTCAATGGTTAAATAATGATTGTGCATGAGTCCTTTTAACTTTCTTTGGACAATGCTGTTTAAATGAATATGTAAATTCAAAGGGGTTGAAATAAGCTTTTTTTTTTTTTTTTTTTTGGTCAGGATTGATGTAACTTTCCCAGAAAGTTCATCAAATATTTCCTCCATGTCTTAGAGGTTAAATATGTATAACTATAATTATGCTTGGTACTGATAATAAATTTTAGGTCATGTAATTCTAGCCTTCCAGATGCACCAAGAAAACATTAAATTTATGCCACTGATGGAAACATATATTACATATTGGCAAAATAACTAAAATTTCACATTGCTTTTATTTTGCCTCAAATGATGCTCAAGTTTTAAAAGAATTTGCTTGTGGAAGAAGTGATGACCCTGAGGACTTACCATCTTACCCTCACGAGTGAAGGTTTTTTTTTTTTTTTTTCTGAATGATTGTTATATTGCACAAGGATCTAAGCAGATATAGACTAATCACAGTAGCCTTTTAAAGTCAAAAAAGCCTTCTGCACCTAGTGGCAAAAGAGGAATTGAGAGAAGTACAGGTGTGAGAAAAAATTGATGGGAAAATCTCCCTTACCAAAGATGGAGGGGAGGGGCTTCTATAACTGAAGGGTTAGGAGCTAAGAGCTGGCCAACAGACAGCAGGAAATGTTCCTATACCCACAAAGAACTGAATTCTGGAAGTGGCAAAATGTATCACAAAGCAGAATACCATGGCTCAGGTTCTTGAGTTAAACATTTAGCTAGACATTAATGTATGTGGGCAAAGAACCTGCCTGTAGCTTGTGGGCTTCTTTGAACTTTGTATGTTCCTGTGTGTGTATGCATGTGGTAGCCAGGTGTTTGGGTTCCTCCTAGGTCTCATGCTTAGTTGTGTTTTTTTTTTTTAATTTCAGTTTTTTTCACTTTATTACAATTTATTTCACCTTGTATCTCAGCTGTAGCCCCCTCCCTCCCTCTTCTCCTCCCTTGCCCCTTCCCCAGTTCACTGATAGGGGAGGTCGTCCTCCTCTTCTATCTGACTGACCCTAGCCTATCAGGTCTCATCAGGACTTGTCTGCATTGTCTTCCTCTATGGCCTGGCCTCTCAGTCTTCAAATGAGCAGTCTAGCAAAGGGAACAGGGGCTATCTCTGACATGAACTCAGTTGCTTAGTTCTTGAGATGATCTTGAGCTCAGAGATTGACCTAGGTAGTCTGGCTGATGGGCTCCAGGCATCTTCCTGTCTCTGGATTCCCAGTTGCTGGGCTTATGGGTGCCCCAGCTCCCAGCTTTTGTGAGTGCTGGGGATTAAGTGGAGGTCCTTGTGTTGCGTAGCAGCCTTTAGGGGGTGAGTCATCTCCAGCCCTACCTTTTCAATCTTCTGATGAAACAAAACTCTGTAAAATGATTAGTTTTATTAATCATTTATCTTTAGTACAGTGGTACCAAACTTTTGTCTATTATGGCCATTCATGGGTTTTATTTCAGGGAATTTGTTTCATATTTCAGCACTGTTAATGTGATATTTTTCTTAAAAAAATCCTATTTGGTTTCTATGTATTATAAAGTTAAGTGATTTCAAATATTACTACATCTGACTACCTATGCCTAAGTTTGTGTATTTTCTTAGCTTCAAATCACTGTTGACTTTATTTGTCATGCCTTTGTTTTTGTTTTATTGTTTGTTTACTAAATTCTATAATCCCCTCCTCTCTTGAACTTTCCTGGGCTTAAGTTAAATACTTACTTTTTACTTAATTTCTACCATTGCTGATAGTAATATTGACCCTGAGATCTTCCTTTTTTTTTTTTTCCTATATATCCTCTAAGTTTCCACAAGGTTTATTTTAGAAATATGCATTATGCTTTCTGTAATATTCTGTTGGATTTGTTAGTTTGTTTTATGTGTCCCATATTCATCTGGGATTTGCCTTTAAGTAGAGGCCTCCCAAGAGGCTTATTGGCTGCTAATTTTTAATCACTCACTTTTATTTTTATCGTGCAGTGTAATCTACAATGGTAAGAACTGATTTCTACTTAAGTTGAGATAGTGGTTGTGGTCAGTATACATCTTTTATTTAAAAAGAAACATTCTTTGTCCTATATTATATGTCTAATATCCACTTAGTAGTGAGTATATACCATGTGTATCTGTAGACATATAATAGTCACACTAAAATCTGTACACCTAAAGAAGCTAAGCAAGAAGGAGAACCCTGGGCAAGATGCTCAATCCTCATTCAGAAAGGCAAATGGGATAGACATCAGAAGAGGGGGAAAATAGGGAACAGGACAGGAGCCTATCACAGAGGGCCTCTGAAAGACTACCCAGCAGGGTATCAAAGCAGATGGTGAGACTCTTAGCCAAACTTTGATCAGAAAGAAGGGAGAGATAGACCTGGACGGGACAGGAGGTCCACACGCAGAGCAACAAAACCGAAAAATCTGGGCCCAGGGGCCTTTTCTGAGACTGATACTCCAACCAAGGACCATTCATGGAGATAACTTAGAACCTCTGCAGAGATATAGCCTATGGCAGCTCAGTTTCCCAGTGGGTTCAATCACTAGTAAGGGGAACAGGGACTGTCTCTGACATGAACTCAATGGCTGGCTCTTTGGTCAC